CCCTCCGTTGTGATCATCACAACGATGGGCGATGCCCTGATTGGGCGAGGGCTTACTAGCTAGTTGACTTGACACACTACTGCACTGCTTTGTTGATTCAATTTTTGGAGCAGAGGCAGTCCACGTGACCCCTCCGCGACGGCTCCTTTGCAGCATTGTGGAAATGATGACCCTTACCCTTAGGTGAATGGGCAACTCTGTCGGTAAAAAAGAGAGCAGCTGGTCCAGTCATCATTGGAGAGATCAATGGTAATATGAGTGGCTCCCTATTTCACCTCGGGCGATAGATTCGCGTGATAAAGCCGAATGTTGTGCCCGCACCCTGCTCCACCAGAAGCTACTCTAAAGAAAAATTTAATTTTGCGCCCAACACATGCACCTACCAGTGTGGCTTGTTCTTCCCCCTTCATGTCTCAGAAGGAAGCTGTCCATATCGGTGGTAGAGGATCATTTCACTCGAACCTGACTCGGGACAATAAAGAAAACGCTAATTTGTTCAAAATTAGTACGAGTAACCCTAGATGTTTTCATTACCAGTTTTATACTTCTACTTTTTCTTTTTGCACCAGAGTTTCAACTACTTATGGAAAACACCTATTTTCAGTCTTGGATCAGCATTTTCTATGCTGATGTTTTCATTCAACAAGGAAGAAGCTGTTATAGCAAGTGCCGCTTCACATCTTGGCGCTGGAGTCATTGGTGTCATCCTCTATTTTGTGTTCATTTTCTACGACCTTTCAAAATGGTAATCAAACCTTACAAGTCATTATATTTTTCAAAATAAGCCTCTAAAAGTGACTTCCTCAAATATGATAAGTATCTGGAAAGGGTAAAGGGAACGGTAATCAGCGTGAGAACACCTTTTAGATGGACACCTATCTGGATTCTGATAGGAATATTATGATCCACAAATTCGGTAAAAATTAAAATTTTCATTTTACTTACTTCAAAAATTTAAAATTTTCATTTTACTTACTCAAAAAATTTTTCATGAAGTGTGCGTCCACGAAGAGCGACAATCCTTGTTATGATTTCATATGCTTGCCTCTACCTATCCACCTTACTACCCTGGCCATTTCTACGAGAAAAGTGGAATATCGGTAAAAACGGGTTTGAAGCTGATATTTGTCCAATTAATCGTGCCTCTGAGCTCATTGTTCATTACTTGCTGGAGCAAGCCGATCAGTCTTGCGATTCACGTAACTGAACCTTGACCGCCGTTCCACCAGGGAATTGTTTGGACTACTGCCGTGGTCGCAAAAGAGTTCTCCCTTTCAAAATCAGGATGCGAATTTGCTCGACCTGCAGCAACCTCCTCTAAGTATAGCTGTGATGTCGTCGCCATCGATTGGACGGATTGAACCACGAATCGCTCGACTACAATCACTCCGGGTTGTACGGCGAGCTATGAAGGCGACATTACCATGCCCAGTCCCATTTGTCGCAAGCCTTCAAAAATTTGCGGCAAAAGACTGAAACCTCCGCACGATACCGCCTTGGGCTTCCATCCCTAAACGATCTACGTGACCTCAAGTCAATTACAGAGGCCAGCTGCTCATTGTAAGTCCAGATTCCTATCCCTCTTTTTGGATTCAGACCCTTTCTACTAACAAAGCACTTTGTAGTAAGAAATCTGTTCTAGGATTCCACGATGCGGCCGTTGCTTTAGTGATAGGTTCACTTGGTGCGATAACCTCCCACAAGTTTCCCCATTTGTGAGTTGTTTTTATCGACTGAAGTTATTACTCTCTGCTTTCACTATTTCTACTAGACCGTACGGTAATGTGATTTGTTGAAGGTGTACTACACAATGTTTGTTCTTGTGTTTGGATTCGGAGTTTCCATCATGAATATAGCTATCACTACGCTCTATTCGGAAGTGATCGGACCACGGCGACAGGTGGGGGAAAAATTTCATTTTTGTGACCGGAACGAAAGGAACAAAAATTGACGTACTTTTTCGTAAATATTTCAGTACAAAAATGTGTTAAGATGGGGAGCGGGTAGCTGGGAATGCAAAATGGAATAATGAGTGCAAAAAAAAACAAGTCAAAGTCACAGCTGACGTGTGGGCGGGAACAGTCAACCACTGCTCTCCTTCAGCAGTACTCCGCTCTTCTCTCTAGTCTGAAAAGGAGCACGCCGATGGGGATGACCTGATGGACGGGTGTCTCCCCCCACTACTCTCCCATAATCCCAGAGTGAGCCAGATATTTGAACTGGCAGTATTTTTGAAAATAGAGATCCCTCTCAGTCTTGAAAATGAATAAGGCTCCGGGGTAAAATAGTGAGTTGGCCTGACAATTGGAGACTGAAGTCTGAAATTCTTGATTGAACTTTTAGGGAACTCTCCAAGGAGTCTTCCAAATGTCGGGATCTATAGGCAGAATGCTGGCGCCTCTTATTACCAGGTTAGTAAAACTTTGTTCTCACAAGAATTGTACCAATGTGAGGATGTTCTATTTCGCCTAAAAATACTTGGAGACTTCAAAATTTCCTAGAAACCGTCTTGCTTCATTAACCTCCTGATTTATCGTCACTGCTTCAATGTATGTGATTTCAGCTTCCTCTACACGGCGTTCGGTCCACAAGCCCCATGGCTCTTAGATGTGGCTCTAATTTGCCTGATAATTGCATCATGGCTGATATTCCGTAAGAAGATGGTTCCGCTTGAGAGCAGAATTATACCGAAGATATCCTCCACGAAGGAGGAAAGTTGAGCTTTCACTTGAAGTAATAAGATAGTTAATAAAGATGAATAATCCTAGCCAATTGTGCAAAAGGTCATCAAGGTGATGGCAGCCGCGACAGAGAGTATTAAAGGCAGTTGGCACGATAAATCCCTAAAGATAAGTAGGATTAATATGCTGGCAGGACGAAATCAAGCGCCCCCAAGAAGGCTTCGGGGCGCCAAGCCGCCCTCTCCAACAGGAACGGGTGACCCTTATAAGAGTCCTATCAAGCTTACAACCATACCGACGCCAAACCGGGCCCACCAAGCCGCGCCGCCCACAAATAGGACGACATTCCTGACGCCTCGATATATTTATTTGCTAAGCAAATTGCGAAGCAAATCGATTGGTGTGAAGCGGCTGCGGTGCTGCATGGATTTATGAGTACACACATGCAGCCGTATCTTCGGTAGCGGTTACTGGCAATAATACGGGAAACTCGTCCGAAATTGCTTGTCGAGTCTTCTTCGCAGGAAGAAGGAGTTTTCTTCGCAAGAATTCTGACTTTCGCTCCATTCTTTCGCCATTTTCCCCACTATATAGCGCCCTGCTAGCATTTAAGGCGAGTGTGCTGAATTATCTTGCCAACTGCCTTTAAGAAGCAGACGCGACGTGGATCGGACAGACGCAGCCAGCGAGCTACTTTAACGCTTCTGCCGGCCATTTATTATGTTTGTTTATTGCATCAAAGAGAACTTCTATTGAAAACACCTCTTCATTCATCCCTAAACTACACCGTAAAAGGTAGCTACCGCATAGATCATAGCAACGTGAATATAATTTATCAACGAGTCGTTTCCACGGCTCTACGAGATCGGCGTCTGAGATCTTCAGGCCATTGCACAGGTAGGCATAGGAGAGACCATTATGCATGTCGACTCGCACGTTTTGTCCGCCAAATCCCGAATGTCCAAAGATCCATTCACCCTAAAAGATACACAATTGTTCTACACCAATGTTGCGTCGTTTTTGCCCGCCACGCTTACTGGTTCTTTTGTATCAGGACGGAATCATCAACAAAAACTGCACCTGCCAAAAGGTCACAAACTGAAAACCCGCTCTACACGTCATTGCTTGCTATGCAGATGCCACTTGCGTGCTCGAAGACTCGGATTGGCTGGGACCGCGCCAAGCCATTCTCTTCTCTGCCAGCGACAACAATTGTTGTAGATCGGGCTGGCGCCGCGCCAAACCCAACCTCCCGACACGTCTCAGCATCCGCAGCGAACATGACTGGATGAACTTTATGTCGCTGCTGCAAAACATTGCAGTTTCCAAGGAATTGCTGCAGAACCAAGAGTGTTAGAGATGTTCACCTTGGGATTTTTCGTGAATTGAAATCCGTAGCCCTTGCTTTCCTCATAGCCGATCACGTGGTCAAATTCGTTTTCCAGAACTGGTCGCTCCAAATTCTTATAGAAAGCATCGCTGAGAATCTTCCGCTCAGCAATCAACGAGTGGAAATGTGCCAGAGATCGAGCGTTACCAATTCCCATATTAGATGGCATTGGCAGAAGGCGATTCTCGAACAGATTGTACTGAAAAGTAAATAGAACGGTCTATCAGAGGAGGCAACTAATGTTAACTCAAGTAAAGGGCCTTTGGTGATTATCCCTGCAAGCGAGAGGGCGTGTAAGGGGGCGTGGACTGGAGTGCAGCCGTTGCAGCCTTTTCCCACCAATCGCTGTCATTCTGAGCCCCGCAACAGTTGGTGGAAAATGCAGCCCTAACCACGCTTCTATCCACACCCTTCCATACACCCTCTTGTTCACAGGGACAATGACTATGAAGGACCACAATTCTGCCCCGATAATGCCAAAGGCTACAATTCTTCTCTATTAATGAGGAAATAATAGAAAAATATTCAGACACTTACGTCATCGGTAGTGATCCATGGCCACGTCTCATAGAGCCGTTTATGATGGTCATTATCACCAGCGCACCATCGCCGCCACGTCTCAGGGTCCCGCCGTGCTTCGGACTCAATTTGCAGGTCACCAGGGTACTGTAGCAAAGCTACCCGTTCGTTATCGTCTGGATGATGTAGACCGATTGACAGGTCAACGATTCCTGGAACGAAGAAAATTATCCTGCAAAAGGGTGTAAATCGCGGAGGGGTAAAACAGTATACACGGGTGTCGGCTGGGAGATCCACGTAGTGACAAATAGCCGGTATTTCCCTGCAAGGCGGAACTCTTCGATGAATCAATTGGGTCGTGGTGCGAATGCGGCTCACGTGACGCCACTTGCAATGTGGTTTTCGTCGCGTGTTGGATTTCTCAACCGATGCCCAACATCATCATGACTTTGCATTGACAATAC